TATATTTTGTAGGATTTCATCATGGGCTATCAGATGGAAAGGGAGATGCGCGTGATTGAGGAGATCAAAGTCAATATTCACTTTCCATGTTACTATACTATTTTTTGGAAGAATATTTTAGTAAAAAGAAAGAACTTGCTGGAGAAGTACACGCCTAAGGATACTATATAAACACGACTTGAAGATCAATTAAAGGCTGCTAAATCTCTTGTCAATCACATCGTTCGAGCTTCAATTGAGAGTTCAAGCTTTTTGCCGGTTCATTGATTTTGTTCGCAGTTTTGTGATCAGATGTTCTTACTGCTTCTGAGCAATGAAGTTGTTTTTATTCTTTTGTTTTGAACACTTTTGTTATCAGAACATGTTATTCTCGAGGGATCGAGAGTCATTTAAGTCCACGGGACGTGGCCAGATAAGTAGTTGGTAGATTCGAGTATAGTTGTTGGTTAGGCTAGAAGGGAGTTCTGGTGGTTGTAATTCCAAGACTATACGAGAGTGCACGATCGAGTTATAAATGAAAAAGCTCTGAGGGGTAGTAGGACGCTCCCCGAAGAGTTTTATATTTTGCTGTGCTTCCGCTATTTTCAACTTTTTTGTGTTGCAACATAGTTTTCATAATTTGTGTTCTAACACAGGTTAAGCGCCACTCTATACGTATACATTTCAGTTTTACCTTTTTCATAAATCACAGAGTTGTCAAACGAAAAGTGTCGCTCACGAGTTTGCTAGCTTGAGCTCATTAAGTCTCGAAAATAGGAGTTTTTAAATACTTTTCTATAATTTGGATCGAGTTTGGCCCGTTATTAATGAAACTCGACTTGTTGAGTCGAGCTCGAGCTCTTTAACTAAGTGAGTCAAGATTGGTTTGACGCGACTCGATAAAGGCTCAAAGAGCTCTACTCTTTACACCTCTATTGTTCTTATTTATTTGCATCGTCACATGATATCAACCAAATAAAGCTATACAAGCTTACAACAATTCAGGTATGGGGTATATTAGAAAATCATTAGTGCAATTTATTTTTGTTACAATAAATGTTTGATATTTATTTCAAACTATATATACATATAAAAAAGAACTAAGTCTACTTTTGTGTAAATTAGTGCACATTTCGTGCGATGCACGGACGGGCTAGTTACCTAAAATATTTCTAAAAGTTTATTTTAAATATAGTTATTTATATTTAACATCTCATTATTAGAAAAGAAATACAAAGTATGAAAAATTATATATTATTTATTTGAATATAATGAGTGTCTCAACCAAACTAATAACATCCAACATATGATAATGATAAAATCAATCTAATGAATAGTCATGCTTTTTGAATATATATATATATATATATATATATATATATATATATATATAATATGAGATTCGCATTAAAATTTATAATCTGGATATGAGATGAAAAATGGATGTGTAAAATAGGTACCAAGAATCCACATAATATGAGATTCTTTCTAAACTTTAAAAGATTTTGTAGTTAATTAGACAAATATGGACAAAAAAATATTCAATTAAGTTGAACAATACGAAATATAAAAATTAATTATGAAATTAACATTCATTATTAAATAAATAAGATTTTTTAGTTGTGACCATATATCCGATATGTAGTGTTTGTACTATTTTTGTTGCATTTTTCGTTATTGTTTTGTTCTTCTTTTTCCCTCATTTTAGGACTTTTTATTTGTTTTTATTCGTTTTTATGATTTATTATGTGTTTTGATCTATTTTGGTTTTTCATGTGTTTTTTCGTATATTTTTCCCGTTTTCTTCTTGTTTTTGGTGTGCAGGTCGAAAACCCCGTGAGGATTGGATTAAGCTCGGAACTCTACTGTTCAAGAACAACTAACTAGAGAGGTTAGTTGGCAACAAGTGAGAAAAAGCGGAATTCAATTTCGAGTTCGGATGAATCCGAACGGGGCTGAAACGTAAAATCGAGCAAGTTACCGACCCTTTAAAGGTTGGAAATTCCACACAATTTGTATTCTGGGCAAAAGTGTGGTTTGCAAGCATCATTGGATAGAGGGGTTCGTTAACGGCGCATAGGAAAAAAACAGAACTCAATTCCAAGTCCAAACGAGCCCGAACTAGTGAAAACTGTGATGACATGCAAGGCTGTCGACACCTTAGCGCGGCTAGTACCCCTTAGCGGCGCTAAGGGGTCGATTTCTGCAGCTGTTATGTTGAAGATAATGGCATGTTGGTGGGATGTTATGTTATGATGATTCATGATACCTATAGCTAATTTATAGCTATAAAATACTCCAAAATCTCAGCTATAAATAGAGGTGATCATGCTTGTAATAATAGAACAATTCCATAATTCAAGACATTGTAAATATTTCTTCTCTTTTCTTTTCTTCTCTTCTTCTTCACCATTTATAAGTTTGTTCTTCTCATGCATGCATTTGCATGATCTTGTAAGTTGTATATCTATATCTATTTGAAGTTCTAGTGATATATTGACGTCAAGTTTTCAATAGTAATCGTAAGTTATCATTAACTTTTCATAAGTACGATGATAGCTTGAGTTGTTATTGTTGTTTGTGTTGATAACATCACGATGAACTAACCTATCCTGTTAGGGATAGGGAAATGATTGTTTCGGTTCGATGATGATGACGTGTTATTGATTGTCCAATTGTTTCGAGTTGTGCTTATTTTTATGGTTTAGTTGATTAAACACCTTCTAAATCTACTTAATTGATTTTTAAACCGAGAGGGGCGAAGTTGATTGATCTCGGTTCGAGATGAGTAAGCTTGTTCGTAACTGTATTGCTTATGTGTTATTTGGTTTGAATATACATTAATTCATGTTCATATTCTTGTTACGAAAAGTTATTGAATATAAACCTCTAAATTATTGTGTTTATCGAATCACTTAACCGAACATTCAATGATTCGGAATTATTATTAGAACTGAAAACAATTATTTCTCAATTCCCTAACACTTTTAACATCTTTATATCTCTTATAATTTTTTAGCCTTTTATCATTTTATTGTTCTTAAATTTATTTACAACTTTACTTGCAATTTTACATTTATTAGTTAAACAAGTAAAAATAGTGGATAATAAAAATTAAATGAAATGGATTAGAATGTTTAGGAAATCTTTTTATTTATTTTTTTAATTGAATAAGTACACAATTTAATCCGGCTGAATCTTCCTTGAGATTGACACGGGAAACGAATTTTTAATTCGGCGCTCGATAAAAGCATATAAATTAAATTTGCTACAACATGTAGATTGATAATATTGATTAAAAAAAATTTAAAAATATAGTTGGCATGACTTATCGGAGTGATTTCAAAAATTTTCAAGCATTTATTCGTCAAATGATTGACATGAGTTTTGTAACCAAATTTATGCGTTTGATCATAAAATTTAAAGAAATGACTGACCGAATTTTTTGGAAGCAAGATTTTCAAGATTCTTTCTCATCATTGCTAGAATAACCCGTAGCATTTAAGAAAATCATTGTCCATTAAAAATTAAGGTTTACTGAATATTTTTCTCAATATTTTTTTTTTACAAAATTTGATTTCGAATTTTCATTTAGTCACCATTTAAAAAAAAATACTAACAAATAGTAACTTTGAAAATTTTATGTAGGAATTTTAATACTATTTCAAGTAAATCTCTCTGTCTATTACATAGTAATAGATAGATTGGTCAGATCTATCCGTAGCATTTAAAAAATCATTACTCATTTGAAGAATTAAGGTTTACCCAATATCTTTCTCAAATATTTTCTTTTTTAAAATTTGAATTCGAATTTTCATTTAGCCGCTATTTTCTAAAAAAAAAAACTACTAAAAATAGTAACTTTGAAAATTTTAAGCATGAATTTTAATACTATTTTCAGTGCATCTCTCTCTCTCTCTCTCTCTCTCTCTCTCTCTC